ATTGATTTTTTAGTGAACAGAATTGCGTCAATCCGAGATTGGACGCGTTCAATCTCGGATTCGACATTCGCCTAGGCCAATCTGAGATTGGACGTAATCTCAGTTTGGACGCTGACATATGCATACATGTATCTTGTCGATTGTCTAAATGAAATAAAATCGGCAGGTCGTGCATGATGACGACACTTCTCTTGCGGATGTATTTTCTCATCGATGAAATTTTTACGCGGTTACAATAAAAAAGAAGATGAGTATCGGATAGACAACAATTAGTATAGGACTTACTTCAATAAATGTATAAACTCATCTGCCTCTGCGAATGGTGATTGTTCGATGTCGTTTTCAATTGAGTATATATCATCATCAACAGCGTTCAGGGTTTTAAAAATGAAAACTCCGAATTTGCAGAGATATTAATGGTAAATTTTCGGAAATATGTCAGCTATACAAAATCACTGAAGACGCTATAGTTTCGAAAATTTCCAAATTCAACGCTTTCTCACTGTGAATCATGTTCTAGTTAAGATATTGATGGATATTATAGAAATTCTCATAGTTTGCTCTTTAGAAAATCGCACCATAAGCGTCTCCCATACTTTTCTTCTAACCTTCACTGGTGACAGAAGATCATTTCTATTAAATACTATGCGAAATCCGATCTTGCATTCGGATCTATCATTAGGTGGTAACTGCCAAATGATAATTTGTGATAGGAGAGAATAGCAATTTTTTGTTCCTGTATAGGAAAAATTGTTTATTCAATGTACTAATTAAGCAATCAGTAGCTTAAACCGATGCACACTATGTTAGAAAATAATACCATATGTCTGTGTTATATCTATTAGAAACAACAACAGAAACGATCTCAACAACATCAATCGTATCAACGACATCAATCGCATCGACGACAAGTATCGTTACTACATGGATCACGACAACTACGAAAGGTAAATACGAAGAGTCGATTTAGAGAAGACATCAGATCATGGTACAATATCTTCTCATACTATGTCTCATTCGACACATTTTGCGTAGTTCATCCACACTTCGAATAGTAGCACTTTTCTCCTACTACAATATCGACGATAATTAGCATTACTTCCACTGAGAATATCAGACGTAGGTACCAATATTGATTCGAACAAATGTTGAATATGGAAGGAAGAAGCAGGTTCATATTTCACACCTGAAAAGTGCGGTTACTAAAGTGTTAGTAGCCAATAAAATTATGCATCAACCTCCAACAAGTCTCTCTCGATCCACATCAGGTCTACAGTCAGAGTATAGGATGAATTGATATGATTAGATGAGTCTTTCTGAAACACATATTTTAACATCACTTCGATAAAGTGTAGAGAATAGATTCATTGAGTATACAAGGCCAACAAGAAAGCAAAAAGATATATTGTGCTCTGAGCCTTGTTACGACTTGATAAAAAATTAATCTTTTTAAAAGAAAAAATTATCTTTAGGATCTTTAATCAGATTCCAGAGACAATGAATTCATATGATGTTCGTTAGTTTCAAGAAAAGGTTCGTATCATGACTCTCGTTATTCAACGAAGATTGAAACTGAAATAAGAACTTTTTTGAAAAACTCACGTAGATCTAGAATATGAGAGATTCGCCTCTAATGTATGTTTCATTCAATGTAAATAATACTCATGTATGTTTAGGCCGCATTTACCACAATCTAACATTCAACCAGCAGTATTTACATAGAATACCGAATACCACCTATGGAGTTGCTCTCGGTGATTTTAATGGTGACAATCGTATGGATCTAACTGTTTTCAGTTACTTTGAGAATTGTTTCTACGTTTTTCTTGGCTACGGCAATGGAAGCTTCAGACCACCAACAGCTTTTATGACTCGCACAAATCCATATACAGGCCTTGTCAGCGACTTCAATGGAGATGGTCATGCAGATATAGCTGCGGCTCATGCAGGTAATGGTAGTGTTGGCATTTCACTCGGACTTGGTGATGGTACTTTCCTTCCACAAAATTCTTTTGCGGTTGACTACTTTCCAACTTCTATTTGTGCAGGTGATTTTAATGGTGATCAACATCTTGACTTGTTGGTCATCAACCGTGATACCAGTACTGCCAGTATCCTTATTGGTTATGGCAATGGCAGTTTCGCGTCTCAAAACCATTTTTCTATAGACCTTTGGCCAGAATTAGCTGTTGTAGCTGATTTCAATCATGATAATCTCTTAGATATTGCTATCACCGGCTATGCAACTAATAATGTCAGTATATATCTAGGCTTGGGCAATGCTACTTTTCGCGCGCCAGTCTCCTATGCCGTTCAGAGTGGACCGGTTGGATTGGGTTTTGGTGATCTGAACGGTGATTATCAGATCGATCTGGTCGAGTCGAACTGTATAAACGGTACGATCAGTGTTCTACTCGGCAACGGTAATGGCACTTTTCAAGCAGCACATAACTACATGATTGGAAGCTGTTCGGCTAGCATCGCAATTGGTGACTTGAATAGAGATACTCACTTGGACGTCATTGCTCCTGGATCCTTCGCTAATTATTTCACTATATTTCTTGGTGATGGAACTGGGACTTTATTCACATCATTGTCTGTTGTTACAAATAACTATCCGTGGTGGGTGACTCTCTATGATTTCGACAATGATGGAGGACTTGATATCGTGATTGCTCACGCAGATGGTCATGTATCAGTATTTATGAACGTATTTTAATGGGGTGCAGCCACAAAGGCGAGTACAGTTGTATGTCGGAGTGTTCTAGTTACATATTCCCACACCCTCTTTAAGCTTATTAACCCTATATCTAATAAAACAACATTCTTCTGCTCAAGTGTTGATGCTGAACTAGAATATAATGCTTTTATTAAGTTTGAAAAAATAACGTAATTGAAAATCGACAGTTCTTGTAAAAAACACGGATTCATAATCGCCAATGTTACTTTTTCAGTCATTCTAGTTTTTTTTTTATGATTTTTCTAGCCAAACAGCAGTTGAATCGAAATAAAAGCTATATATTTGTGACCAGCTCATCAAGCTCTATTAATTAAATCATATATAAATAAAAGAGAAAAACATCCATTCAAATTTTGCATTGTGTGCTACTTATAAATAGTCTTCGATTGTATAAAATTTATCAGTTGTAATCGTTTTCAGAAAAAAATGCAACAATATTTTGGATTTTTCCTCAAATGATCACGAGATTTCGATACAATATAAAAAAAAATTTCTTCTGAACTCGTATTTATAATAGATTCTGTTAGTTTTCTCTTTCATTCAAATCTCCTACTCACTAAATGTTAATAGGTCGGAAGACACATCAATAGAAAACTAAGATCTGCATTAACTAGGTTAGTGGTGTTAGTTATTCTACTTCAGTTTGTAGATTGATATAACAGAGAAGATAATATAGATTCAGATTATGAATATGTATTTTATTCATGGAATGCGGGTGACTCCGATAACAAAAATTAACAACTAACAAATGGGGAAAAACTTGTTGGGTGTGGGTGTGGGTGTGGGTGTGGGTGTGGGTGTGGGTGTGATTTAACAGAACATCGCCAGCCACACCCACAGACTTGCACCAACACTCATACCCAACACTCACACCTCAC